AGCTGGCTTTGAACTCCAGATCCTCCTGTGTCAGCCTCCGGAGTCTCCGGCATTACAGGCGTGCACCATCTTGCCTGGCATATTTTTTATTTTTGAGACAGGATCTCACTAAATTGCTTAGGCCCTTGCTTAGTTGCTGAGGCTAACTTGTAGTTCCCCTGCCTCAGTTTCTTTGAGTTGCTGGGATTGCAGGTATGTGCCACTGACAGATCAGGCGAAGGTGGGCAGCGACCAAAGGAGGCAGATTTAAAAAGGGCCACGGAACAGGCTTTATTGGGATATCACTCCCAGATGGAACTGATCAAACTGCCAGAGTGGCAGGAGAAGGGTCTGAGGAGAAACCATGTGGAAGCTTGCTGGGCTGGACTTTTATGGGGCTTACAGCAGGAAGGGAAGGGCTTGGGACAGGAAAAGGTGTTTTTAGGGTCCCTTGTTGCATTGGAGTTGGTCAGTGGAGTTGGCTGAACTCCAGGATTGACCAGGGGGTCCTGCTGATTGACAGGCGTTAGTCAGGTGATCTCGCTGATTGACAGGCAATCTCGCTGGCGCCTGATTGATGTCCCTTGGGGGGGGGCTGTTTTGCTCTAAGTCCCACCAAGTTGCCACCACCGACCTAATAGCCACCTGTAAATAAACAAACTTCAAAGAAAAGAAAAAAGAAGGGAAAGAAGAAAAGAAAGAAATTTTAAGAAAGCATTTGGAGTTGGGCATGCTTGCTCATGCCTGTAATCCCAATGGCTCAGGAGGCTGAGGCAGGAGGATTTCGAGTTCAAAGTCTGTCTCTAAATAAAATACAAAATAGGGCTGGGGATGTGGCTCATTTGTGGAGTGGCCCTAAGTTCAATCCTTGGTACCATCCCCCCACCAAAAAGAAAGCATTTGTTCTAGGCATCCTGGCACATGCCTGTAATCCCAACGATTTTGCAGGCTGAGGCAGGAGGATCCCAAATTCAAGGTCAGTCTCAGAAGTTAAATAAAACTCTCAGCAGGCTGGGATTGTGGCTCMGTGGCAGAGCGCTTCCCTTGCAAGTATGCGGCACTGGGTTCCATCCTCCGTACCATATGAAAATAATAAATAAAATAAAGGTATTGTGTCCATCTACAACTAAAAAATAAAAATAAAAAAGACAGCAATTTAGCAAGACTGTGTCTCAAAACAATCAAACAAACAAATAACTGGGGATGTGGCTTAGTGGTTAAAGCACCTCTGGGTTTAATCCCAATACCAAAAAAAAAAAAAAAAAAGGAAAGAAAGAAAGTAAGCAGTCATGTTTGGTGGTGCACACCTGTAATCCCAACGACTCTAGAGGCTGAGGCAGGAGGATTCCAAGTTGGATACTTCAGCAAATTAGTGAGACCCTCGGCAATTTAGTGAGACTGTCTCAAAAAAAAAAAAAAAAAAAAAAGAAGAAAGCAAAAATGAAATGAAAGTTTTACACATGAAAAGAATATTTATGGATGTACTTATCAATAATGCAAAATGTGGAACTTGTTCAGATTTTGATTCAGATAAATGAACTGTAAAAGGCATTCTGGAAATTATTGGGAAAAACTGAACATAGATTAAGTATTAAATGATATTAAAGGATTAAAAACTTTTTATAAAGGGTTGATAATGATATTGTGGTTATTTTACAATAAAAAGTCATTGTTAGCAATACATATTAAAGTATGTACTGGTGAAATGTTATGGTTTACAAGAAGTTTACTTAAAAATACTCCAGGGGAGCTGGACATGGTGATGAGCAGTTTTAGGAACAAAAGCAGCAAACTGAAAGTCCTAATTTTTTTTTTTTTTTTGTAGTTGTAGATGGACAGCATGCCTTTATTTTATTTATTTTTATGTGCTGCTGTGAGTCGAACCCAGTGCCTCATGCATGCTAGGCAAGCGCTCTATCACTGAGCTACAGCCCCAGGCCAGTCCTAAGGTTTTTATGCAGGGAAGAGGTAGAACTAATTTTTTTTTCTTTGTGCTGGGCTAGGTGGCACATGCCTGTAATCCCAGATGCTAGGGAGGCTGAGGCAGGAGAATCGCAAGTTTGAGGCCCACCCAGGTAATTTAGAAAGACTGTCTCAAAATAATAAAGAGCTGGTAATGTAGCTCACTGATCAACAGTCTTTGGGTTAAATCTGCAGTATCACACACCAAATAAACAAAATTTGGGCTGTGTGGAGGGGGAAATGGTAGTGTTTTAAATAGTTGAAGTTGGGTGATGGACACAAGGCAGCTTCTTCTTATTATTATTCCTCCTCTTCTCCTCCTCCTCCTCCTCCTTCTCCTCTTTCTTCTTTTTTTCTTTTGCAGTGCTGGGGATTTAACCAAGTACTTCATTTATTCTAGGTAAGCACTCCATCACTGAGCTATATCCCCAGCCCAAGAAGTTTATTATTCTATTCTAATCCTTTTGTATTTGTTTGGAATTTTCCATAAAAATATATTATGGGAAACTGAATCTCTTTCTAGTCCCCAATGTGTGAAATAATTAGATGGAAGAAGAAAAGATTCTTTTTTGGAGGGGGAGTGTTAGGTATTGAACCCAGGGCTTCACCACATGCGAAGTATGTGCTCTACCTCTGGGCTATACTCCTAGCTCTTATAAGAGAACATTCATGCTGTAATAATTTCTTGCTGGAACAGATCAGAATTGGAGGGGCATCTTTTAAGGATAGGGTGGAGGAAGAGGGCCCCTGTCAGGAAAAGAAGGTAGAAGGAAAACTGGTTTTGAGTGGTGTTGAAAAGCCAAGGAGGAGCGCAGTTTCAAGATGGAAGGAGTGTCAACTATGTCAAATATTGCAGATGACAGGAAGGGCAGGATTAAATGACTTCACTAGATATAGCAACCAAGGTCACTCTTGACTTCAGCAAGATCAGTTTCAGTGGAGGTGGGAAGATCCACGTTTCCCTAGCAGCCTGGCTGTGAAGAGATGAAGATGGTAATCTTCCCACACCTCCCACCCCAAAAGGAGAAAGGGCAAGTTTTTATATGCTGAGGGGGACATACCATTTGACAGTGGTTGACAACATAGGCAAAAAATGGAATGACTCACAGAGTACCCTATTACAGGAAAAAGTATTGAGAAAAAAATCATATGCACTGTTTTTCTGATGTTTACTGAAACTTCCAATCACTGCTCCAAAGAAATTTCTTCCACAGTAAACAAAACAGATATATATTTGTCTCAGTTAAGATGGTTGAAAAGCCACGATTTTTCGTGACTGCACTTCAGACACACTAAAAGTGTT